ATTGGCCACATCGCAAAGGACTGTAAAAGCGATGTTGATCGCTCCAGGCAGTGCTTCTGGTGCGGACAGGAGGGCCACAAGACGGTTAACTGTACGGCTGTAACACAGGCGGAAGAAGCACAGGCCAAGGATGATTAACGTGCTTCAAATCAACCTAAATCACTAATAGCGGCCGAAGACTTGCTGCATCAGCTGATAATGAAAGAAGAGGACGATATCGTCATTGTCAGCAAGAAGTTCCGAGATCTCACACGGACACGAACAAAGTACAGGACATACTGAAACGAGAGACAGGACAAGATGTGGACTTTCAGATCCATATCTTTGGACCTAATAAAAACGAATTTTATGTGGCAGTATTTGAAACGGACAGAGACATGGCTCACAGGCTGTTCAAGAAGAGCAGAATAAAAATTGGCTGGGTCAATTTCCGCTTGAGAGAACGACTGACGGTCACAAGATGCTACCGATGCCTCGGTTACAGATACAGTCGAACGAACTGTAAAGGATCGGACCGAAGACAGCTGTTGGAAATGCGTTGTCTGTCGAAGGAGGATGAATTGCACGCAAAAGAAGATAAAACCAGACGCGGACAAACTAGCGATCGCTTATTAGACGGCACGTTAAAGACTGACTGCGGAAATCAGAGACAGTAAAAGCCGATACGTTAGAAAAAATACAAAGTGGACCGGGACCCCGGGGGACTTGACTACAAGATTGCGACCAAGAAAATAGGAGCCCTAGATCCTTCCGAAATAAATGATATGAACGCAGTACTAGACGAACATTTTTAAATCAACCAGAAACGGATGACATTACGGATGACCAAGAAATAACAGTGCCGGTATTTGTCGATGCAGAGCTCACTAGAGCTACGTTCATGATCAGACCCGATAAAGCACCATAGTATTCTGGGAGAGATTCTCGGACGGATCGCGGGCGCACGTCCGAGACTCGGCCTGGATATGTCTAATTTGGTTTTGCGGACTGGCATCTTTCCCAGACAATGGAAAATAGCCAGACTAGTTCTCCTACATAAAGGAAAAGGCGAACCGAATAGTTCATCTTCCAATAGTCTGAATTCCAATCGTCCAATATCTCTCCCTGAGTCTGCTAGACAGAGCGGGTAAACTATACGAAGTATTATTGAAACCGAGACCGACGAACGCGATAACAGCAAACGCAGGACTAGCAAATAACCAGCACGGATTCCCACGGGGTCACTCAACAATAGGGGCGATTTGACAAGTGACGGACATCTACTTGCGGACGTTTGCTATGAAGCGAGGCCAATAGTACTTGCCACGAAACTAGACGTCAGGAATATCTTCAACTTCGCTAAATTGAGGGATATTCTGGAGATTTTGCAAACCTTCAAGGTTCTCCCGTAGCTGATGCAGGAGTACTTACATGACTCCCATGTAACAGCAATTCAACGGATCATCGCAGGAGTCGCCAAGTGGTATATTCTGGGCCACGATTTCTTGAATATACTATACGGCGCACTGCTAAGACTATAGATACTGCTAGGGGTGTAGCAGGTTGCCTATGCCGATGATGTGGCCGTAGAGATAAAAGTATCCCGGAGCTGGTACAAATGCTACTGAACTACGCGATCTTAAGAATCAGTAGATGAATGACCAGACACGAACTGAGCCTTACCCTGGCCAAGACAAAACTCACCCTTTTTACGGAAATCAGGATTGATAACCTGATTCCCATGTCGGGAGGAGAGGTACAGGTGCAGATCAGAAGGTCGGTCAAGACTTACGGTTACCCTAGATACGAAGCTAACCTTCTTGCCGCACATACAAGAGACAGCAAAAAAGGCGGTTGAGAGGACTTACGCTCTTAGTCGCCTTATTCGGGGAAATGAACTTTTTCCTGACCCAGTTTTTTATCGACCACAGATACTTCAGGAAATATTTATTCGACAGAGGGAAAGTAAACAGCCCTGGCTGTAAATAATATGGACATAAAAGAGATGATACAGAGCACATGTTTTTTGCATGCAACCACTTGAATGAGGAGATACAAAGATTAAAGACGAGACTTGGAAAAATCACGCCGAATAACAGTGATAAAGATGTTGCAAGACAAAGACAACTGGACGATAACCGTGACTTTTGTCAAAGCTATCTTGCGAAGGAAGAAGGCGAATGGATGCCTGAAAGTCGAGGGAAAGACGAGAGCACATGCGAGTAAATCGCATATGCTCAAAAAATTATGCATCAAATCAGTATGCATTAAAAAATTATTTTTGAAATGCGTTGTATTTTTATATCTAAAATTTCATGAGATAAGTGTTTTTTTTAAACTGAATTTGAAACTCTACGACGTTATATCAAAGTTTAAATTTCAGAAGTACTATTTTAAGAAATAATATTTTAAATTTTTTTCAAGTGAACGTAAAACTAAAAATAGTAAATTTTTAAAAATTCAACATTTCAAAAAAGCCATCCTTAAATGAGGAGAATTTTTCAAGGTTTTTAAAGTTACACAAACTATCTTTTTATCAAATCACAGTTGGTCAATTTCTTTTTGCGAGGTACGACCTTTCAAACATAAAGTGTCATATTTACATGCTTGAAAGAGAAATTTCCCTGCTTCTAGTGCTTTTCGATCAAGTCCTACAATAAATCCATTACAACCATTGAATTTTACGTGAATAAATATATCGAATATCTTTCATATATTTCAAAAAATTACATTGTTGGTCTTAAAAATTAAATAAATACAATGAGTACACACCCTGTAGAATATCGCACCGCGGTTCACCGTGTATTTATCACAATTTTAATTTCTACCAAATGCAAGACCAAATCAATACTATTTCTAAATTTGTAATAGATACTTTTTACGTAAAATACGATGGTTGTATTATTTTCATCGTAGCATTTATCTGAAAAGCACTATATGTAAAAATTAATGGAAAGTTAAATTTTATGCTCGGTTCAAAATTATGTTCTTCGTTTCTAGCGCTTTTCAGATAATTACGTACTACTATGACATTGATAGAATCATCATAATCTACATAAAAAATAAATTAAAAATATTTATTATAAATATTGAAATGGTGTTGATTAAGCCTTACATTTGAAGAAAATTAAAGTAGAGATACACAGTGGTGCGAAATGTACTCATTCACATAGAATTAAGGGTTGCTAATGCCATTTATCATAGCACCTGATTGAAAAGTTCTAGAAACGGAAAACTGCTAGCTCAAGCATATAAAAATGACGCTTTATGTTTGAAAGTCCGTACCTAGCAAAAAAAAGTTGAATTGCGATTTAGTAGAAAGATAGTTTATGTGGTCTCAAAAAACATAAAAAACTCTTCTCATTTAAGGATGATTTTTTGAGAGGTTTATTTTGAAAAAATGACTAACATTTTTAAATAAGTCGGTTTTTTCAAATTTGTTCATAATTTTTTAAGATATTAAAAATCCGGACTAAAAAAATTAAAGCTGATTAAATTCCGCATATTTAAAAAAATCGACTTGATAGCTTGATTTTAATAAAAATTTAGTTAATTTAAAAAAATGTTGATTTTTTATTTTCAAAATGGTGCTTTTAAGATTGAAACTTTATAACACATAGTTTTCAATCATAAACATTAATTTTTCTACTGATTAAATCTACATGGAATGTATCGTTATGGAATAAAAAGTGATAAAGACGGTATCAATTTTATTCTTTTTTTGAAGTTTGAATTTTTGAGTAGTTTTTCTTGTCAAGTTGATTGCAGAAAAAATTTGGAACCACATTGAAGATACTTTGATCTTTCAAAATCTGCAAAACAGGATGTAAAAAAAGAGGTTGCTACATCCCGTAGTGCAATTAAGCATTTTTTTAATAAAATATAATCTATTTCTGTTCATAATAACCTCCTAATCGTGTAATACCCAAAATTACAACAACAAAAAATTTCGACAATTTGCCAAAACCCCTGCGGTCGGTATGACACCTTTTGGGATCACCTGAAATTAGTCACTTACCACTTGATCTTTTTGAAACTTTACAATCAATAAATTTTGTATAAAGTATGATTGTGAACGATTCACAAATACCGGCCGCCTGGAGATTAATCGTTTTAATTTGTCAAGGTATATGGCGATATTTGGCTTAGGCATGACGAACTAATAACATGCCAAGTGCGATCACCTGACTTTAATCCCTGAGATTACTGCTTGTGGGGAGCGTAAAAGAAAGTATCAAAAAGCGTAAAAGTGGTATATCATAACAGCGTAGAATAATAGCCAATTTGTTCGAATATATGATCATGTTCATCACCTAGAACCTTAGGTTATACATAAAGCCATACGTCAAATAAGGCTTATAGCTAAGTTGTGTATGCGAGAAGGAGGATGCCACTTTGAACAATGTGTGAAATATGAAGTGACCTTTGTAAATAGTATTATTATTTTGATTTTGTTCTTTCTTTTTGCGAGTTTTATTTCGTTCAATAATGTTGATTTTGTTTATTCTATGTTGTACGTATATTCATTTTTTCAACTGTTTTCGTTTAAATTAAATCGCAGCATTTTTATCTCGGAAGACTTTTTCCCTTAAAAGTATCTATTATTTCGTTAAACATGTCCATCAAGTGAGTAGAGGACAATCGTTTATAAGACAGACGACAGGAGAGCTAGCCTACCGAAGGGTAGACTAGCATATATATATATATATATATATATATATATATATATATATATATATGTAGAGAGAGAGAGAGAGAGAGAGCAAGTTATTGAATCGATATACGAGCTCCGGTTTTAAGAACATATTACCACAGGGCAACTGTTTTATAGTCAGATGCGGAAAGGACAGCTATTTTATGGCCAAAAGTGGAGCTGGTAACTGTTTCAAGATCAAAGGAGAGGACCGAAGGACAAACGACCAGAGAGTAAACTTTCGTATAAGCATATATTTTTACTGTAAATAGATACCAATAATATTGCTGCAGTATTACTTAATGACAATAATATGACAATAATTTACCTTTCGAGTTTTTCTTTCATTACGCCAGAATTAATTTCATCAGTGGCTTTTTCAATTTCTTCTTGTCTGGAAGATAATATTCGTACAATTGATAACAACTTCTGATTATTTTCTTGGAGACTTTCAATGTCTCTAAATGTCACCAGTTTTCTACTTATTATTTGAGATGATGCTAGATTATTGCTCTCCACGGAATTTGCTTCACTCATAGGAATGGTTTCACCAATACGCTTTTCTTCTACTTCTTTTAACAAATAACATACTTGTTTAGCAAGATCAGCCAATTCGGATTTTAATTTTTGATTTTCTTTGGTAAAGTGACTAACTAATCTATTGGCTTCGTTAGTATTTTCTTGTAAACGGCTATTTTCAATTAATAACTCATCAATTCTCAGTGTAAGGGTAGTAACATTAGCTATTGCGAGTTCATAATCTTCCCTTTGTTGCTGCAATATAGGTGCTTTTTCCTCTAATTCATTCAATATAATGTCCATTTGCGATTTAATTTTTTCATTGTTTCTTCTTTCAGAACTTAATTCATTACTAACTTCAACGAATTGTGTATAAATTTGTGTTAAACTTAGGCCTTTTTTGAGAATCCTATTAGCAATTGCAGCGGTTGGAGCTAACTGTTCTACTGCTTGATCTAAACGTTCTGTAATAATATATCAAATATATTTATTTGTAAAATAGAATAAATGTGAAATTTATTAATAGATGAGAAAATTAGTATTCACAAATAACATATAATAGTGGGATAATTATAACATTTTAAATAATATTTTCGATAATTAAATTTTTTTTGTGCTTGAAGTTATCAACATACACGTAAGCACATATAGCTACTTGAAAAACAGGCATTCAGTGATAGTTTTCGCAAGTGTCCGAATAATTAATGAGTTATTGGCCAAAGTATCTCAAGGATTGCAGTCCAAGTATTCTATACGGTCTCAATTTTAAAAATGCAAAAATTATTAACAGTTAACATGAAATACAACCTAAACGTAACATACTGTCTTGATTCCCTTATGATTTTTGAAATGATCAATTTTGTAATGATGGAAAGAAGGGAAATAGTGATAGATTGGAAAATCACTGAACTTTAATTATATTCAGCAACGTTTTGTCAGCACATTTGCTGACCTCTTCAGGCTTTATTAATATAAAAACAACAAATTATTAACAATAGAGTTTGCACAAGTAATTTTAATAGTATATAATTATATGTATATGTGTATACCTGATTTCTCTCGTAGTCAAATTATTATAGGCTAAAACGAATAGATCGTAGCACAGTCAAGTTAGAATAAAGTGAGAAATCAAGTATTTCAACCCATATATATACTCTTCATCTATTATCCCTTCCTCATCGATCTTAATAAAGGCTTATAGGTGTGACTAAGATATTGTATATCCTCTTTTCTATTTAACGTGTTTTTATATAAGCCAATGTGTAATATTTCGGATATTCTTCGTTTCTTATAATTCTTTTCATAATCCAATATCTTAGCTTTTTTCCAGTCAAATTCGTGTGAGAACGTTCTTCTATGTGTAGCTACTACTGTATCTGAATCAATGTTTCTTTTGTGTTCGTTTAATCTAATTTTTACGGAACGTTTACTTTCACCTATATAGACCGCTGAACGTTGTTGCAGTTAAAACTGTAGACAATACCAGTGTTGTCTAATAAATCAGATTTATTTTTTCCTAATCGGATAAACTCTTGTAATGTTTTTTGTAAAAAAGGGATAGGCATAATGTTATGTTTTTTTAACACAGATAAACATTTTTTGAAGATGTTGCAATTATTAGGAATAGCGACTGTAGATAATTGTTGATTTTCTGATTTTTTAGAATTATTATTCCCTTTTTGGTATTTATTGATACGTTTTTGTATATGTTTTTTGATAAATAAAGGTGGATAATTATTCTTTTTCAGAATATTAGTTATTATTTACAAATTGTTGGAATGAAATTTTTGGTCAGCAAGTAAAAACACTCAGTCAACTAAATTTGAAACCATATTAACTTTTTGATGAATTGTATGTTCTGAGTTAAAAGTCAAAATTCTGTCAGATTGTGTTGTTTTCCTAAACCAGTCACTGGTATTGTCTACAGTTTTAACTGCAAACAATGTTCAGTGGTTATATAGTTGAAAGTAAACGTTCCTTAAAAATTAGACTAAACGAACACAAAAAAAAAACATTGATTCAAATACAGTAGTAGTTACACATTGTAACGAGCAGGCTCGTTAAGAGGTAGATGAGCGAGATTTGAAATAGCGCGCCATGCGCAAAAGACCCGCGCAGCGAGAAAGAGAGAGAGAGATAGCTACGACACGCGGGCTCGAGAGAGTACACGTGAGACCGGCAAGCGGACAAGGCACGCTCGAAGTCCTTTTGTTTTCTCGGTGTGGAAAAATTGAATACAGGAGAATCGGTTCTGTGCGGTGACCAACGAAAACGGTGCGAAACGAATATTGTCAGTGCATGGAGAGATCAACTACGAGCGAGGATCAACGGGAGCCGATTCAAGATCACCGTACGACCCGAGGGCCTCGATACGTCGCCCACCACCCATAAGGACAGGTCGACAGAACACTCACCCTCGGTGACTCTGGGCGACGTCGATGGAGTATTTAAGTTCGAAACCCAAGGCGTAGCTGTCTGCAGCAGCGTTCGCCCGCGTAAGTTTCTTCCGTTGTAACAATATTGCATGCGAGAGTTCCGGGAAGCGAGCGTATATAAACTGCGTCGGCTGCGTGCCATTCGTAATCTTATTGTCTGTCTCTCTCTCTCACGCGTAGGTATAATTAGGCTGTGCGCTGCGAATCTCTCGGTTAATATGGAATATGCGCTAACGTGTAAATAAGTAACGAATAAAATCCGCTGTGAATATACTGAGTAAGTCGGCAAATTCATTCGATAGCACCGAATTTTCTCTACGTTCCCTTCTCCCTCGCAACGTTTTCTAAGAACCTACAACCACCGCTCTTTCGTATTGTTCCGTGCTTTCGCGCTCGTTTTCAGGCTGCGCGTCCAGCACAGAGCTAGCCAAAAGAGGAAAACGGCGTTGACATAGATATTTTGTTAACGGACGGCGATTTACTTCCGAAGAAATCAAAAACCGTTACAACATAGAAGAACGTTCTCACACGAATTTGACTGGAAAAAAATTAAGATATTGGATTATGTAACGGCGGCTCAAAAAAAAAGAATAAAACAAAAAAATACCGACCACACACTTAGCTCGTAAATTAAGATGAAAAACTGCGTACAGCTGAATAAAGACAATTTTTCCTGTGAACGGCAGTTTACGGCTCGCGCATCTGGCAATTTTCGGATGCTGGAGACAATCAGAGCACTTTTACGATCACGTCATCCGGAGTAGCCAGATTGCGCGTATCTTTAGAAAGTAGAGATCTGCAGCGCACATGTGCATCCTGCCAACAGTACTATTATTTTATTTTAAATAATTTATTCTCATTATTACTAATTTCTTTTAAATTAAAGGAAGCGCATTTGCTTGCAAGTCTCTTAAAAAAATTGCGAAATTTATCTATTGTAAGTAACATTCGAGTAATCAATAAGGACTATTTTAATTAATGTTTTTTTTTGCTCGGATAAGTTTTAATTTCATACCTAAATATAAATATGGGAATAATTCATTATCTTCCCGTATTTATTGGCTTATTTTCTTTGCGAGTTTTGTATGTATAATTGTTGGATGCGCTCAACTTTGCGTTAGACAATTTAAGAATGGCTTGAACGAAAGTTATTAATTATATTTATTGTAATTAACTCTGATTTTTTCAGCATTTCTCAAAGCTTTTTAATCCTTTTTGACAATCCTGATTGTTTTTAGATAAATGTAATTCTTAACTTTTGTTCTGTCCTTTAGTTTTATTTGCAACGATTGCCGAAAATCGTTAGGACTCGCGTAGACTGTCGAGCGTGGCTAAGTGTAATAGCCGTGATCGGCTTGGGTTAGAGAGAGAGAGAGAGGGCGCGTTAGAGGCAATGACCGGGAGGGGAGAGGTAGCGAGCCAGTATGACTGTCCTTCAGTCCGGCGACATCGCAGCTTTTTACGTTTGAAGCGACAACGTGTTTTGCCTTCCGAGTGATAGACAGGGTGATTGAGTGGATAATTGGAGAGTGGTGAGACGAGTGCGCACACTGTGCAACATGTGCGGCCTCGGCAGCAGCGAGCTCAATCTCGGCAGCATCCACAGCAACGTAACTTCGGCGACGAGAGGCAGTTGCAGAGGCAGTTCATCCTTTTAGTATAGTCGGATACGGTTGGCTACCGTATCCTCATCGATTCAGCGGTAAGTGCGCTGCACTTTGTATAACGTTTTGCGTGCGATCCCGCGGAGCGTGCGCGGTGAGTTTTAGGCAGCGTGCGTGCGAATAGTCCGCGGTGTCCGCGAAATCTACTCTCTCTCCCCATTCAAATTATTGTGTCGATACAGCGTGCGTTCAGACTCTCGGCAAATCGTCCTTGTACAGGTTAATTTCGTCAAATAAAGTGGTTGAAGATCAATAAGAGACGATCTTATTATTTCGTCTCACCTTGTCCGGTGTCGGTGTTATTGTTTACATTTGATTCGAACGCGCCGGTAATCCAACACGGATCGCGAAAGCATAGGAGCTGTTCGTCAACCGAGGTGTCCGCAGTGGCCGACGGAGCACTGATAAGCTAGTGCGCCAGCGCCCCTTGTGGAGAGTTCGCACACCCAAGTTGGATCGCTGAGAGAACTCGGCGCATGCGTACACCGGAGCGAGGTGAGTAAGTGTGCTTGAAGCATACAGCTAACAGAGCACCGTTTGGCCGTATTCGTAACTACAATTACCCGGGATTTGCGACTAAACGGTAGCCTGTTACGTGGCGCCCAACAGTTTTTAGGACTCACACAAGGGGATTTGGTTTGCACGTAAAGAGTGAGTGACGCACGGAAGAGAGAGACGTTTGCGCGCATGCGTGTTAAGATGTGAGGGGGTAAAGAACACGTGGCTCGTTCGGCACGTGCTCTGCAGTGGGGAAAAGACGCCTCTCCGATCTATTAGCTATTGTTTTTGTAAGCCGAGAGCATACTAACACCAGGGGTCGAAGAGACATCCTGTGTCACTCTAAAGAAAAAAAGAGGTGACAAAATTGGTTTTTTCAGTGGTTATCCACACCTTAGAGTAATTTCAGGTGGGTGTTAGTCACAGAGCGACAATAAGTGCAGAGCACGCAGTTCGGGTGTGTGCGGAGTTAATTTAACTAACCCGGTGGAGCTAGCAAACAGTTAGTCTCCACCTATAGGCAGGTAATTGCGAGTGGAAGTTCTTACTTCCTTTGTTTACGCGGCACCTGCACACGCCCACGAGCCTCGTGGGTTGCTGCCTTGTAATTTAAGGCGTATTAAAGTAGTTGCCAGTAAAAGCTGCAACACCCCGCTCACGCCTTGGGCGATAGGAGGCGGTAGTGGTTGAATAGGTAAAGTAACCTCAACCGTCACCTACGCCCGTTGTAGGCGGTATGGACGATACCGCCGATGCGATAACCCGATGGGCATCGGAACTGCCTTCTACACAGCTTGACAGGTACCTGACGCAACTGGAGTTGCGCACAGATGGTCCCAAGCTGATGCAAGCGGTCCGGCTGGCATA